GATATAAATTATAATAATCATATAGTACCTATATATAATTATTAAATAATATATTAAAAAAAAATCATTTTTTAAATTGCTTATTGCCTCTTATAATCATTATATCTTCTAAAATAGTTTCGGTCATATTTATACGTAAATCRGACAAAATTAATTTTAATGAGGAAAAGCTTCTTTCTACACTGACCTGAAGAATATTAAAATTATTGAATTATTATTTAAAAAATTATAGTTATAAATTATTTTAAAGTTTTAAACTAATTACTTGTGTTGCTGGAACAGCTAATAGAACTTGGGCTAATCTGTATAGTTCAGGCATAGATTTTTGTTGTTGTTTCCAGTACTCAACAATATTTGTTTTATAATGTTCCCTAGATATATTGTCAAACGCTTCTAATAAAAGTTGAATTGGTGCTGGAGTAGGGAAACTGTTTGATCCTAAGGGCACTGCTGTTTCATTATTATTGAGAATGAATGATTCAAAGTCATCTTCTATTACAGGTTCATCATTTCCTGCAGAATTATTCAATTCTTCTGCTTCAGAATTATTTAAACCTTGTAAGGTTAGGTTATCATCGTTGGCAGTATTCATTGAAATCATTAAATCATATATTTTTGTTAAATGCTCTTTTGCTATATTTTTATCAGAATAATCCAAAAGAACTTGAAATCTCGGATCTAAATAAATAGCTATAGTAATAATGAAAATTAAACACAATAAATATATGATTTGAAATATTAGGATAATAATATAATTATAATATTATAATATAATATAATATAATATAATATAGTATACTCTAAGATCTTTATAGTTACCAGCAGAGAATAATTCATTTTTTAGCAACAGTTTTTGTCTAACCATCATTATTTGATAAATAGAATTAGAAACAGTAGAATCAATATTTTTAAGTTTATTTTGAGTTTGTAACCAAGTACAGTAAAAATCACCCAATGTGATATCTTGTCTTTGTAGTGACAATGAAGCTTCTCTAACTGGTGTAAGTGACTTTACCTACAAGAAATTAAAAATTAATTAATTGGTTATTTTTTATTTAAAAAAAATATTAAGTTGTTTACTAAATTTTCAATTGATGTCCATTCATTTACACTTAGTTTTAACAATGCATTTGTATTTGCATGGTCTATACAAAATGGCATTAACTCCAACAAACGTTCTAACATTAGGTAGGTAATATCCCATCTAGGTTCTATATCAAGAATAGCCTTTTTTAATTTAAGAATTTTAATTAATGTTGCTATATTTGGTGTACGGAGATGTTTTATAACCTATAATAGTAAAATAATATTATAAGAGTTTTATAAAATTATCTAAATTACTAAATGTGAAATATATTACTTTTCTAGCTTTCCAAATTACATTTTGAATGTTAGTAGATTTAAGACCATCTATAACACATAGTTGCAGAGTATGAGCTGAACAGCGTATCATTCTGGTTAAAATTGATGGTTGAATAGCTGTCTCTAAAAGTAATTCAAATGATTCATTTTCAACTGCATCTTCAACTAATAAATCATCTTCATTTAAGCCAAATTCATCATAATCTATATTATCATTATTATCTGAAGAAGATATTAATTCAACCATTTTCACCATATTCCTAGCATTGTCTGAAGTAATTGAAAGTATTTGATGTTTTTTTATATTAAATTTATTAATGACTTTAAAAACCTGAAAAAACATTGAAAAAAATTAAAAAATTAAATTAATTTTTTAAGTATTTAGAACATAATTACCTAATTTATTAATTTGACTAATTTTAAATTAAATAAACAAGATTTTTAATTTTAAATTCAATATTATAAAATATAAATGTATTATTATAATAATAAATAATAATTATAAATGTATAGCTACCACATTTTTAAGATTTTCAGCAGTATGTTTTTCAAACAATTCAACCATCGCTAGAGTTTTCACCACAAGTTTATCATCTACCATAAGTTGAACATTAATCCCTAGAATTGATCGTTCTTTTCTAGTTACACCATCAATTTTCAAACTAATAAGTTTATTTTTGGTTAGGCAAATTATTTCATTTCTTATAGAATTGGCAGCTTCAGAAATATGTTGTATTATATTATGGCGATTAATACTTTGATTTCCTCCTAAAGCTTTCAGAATAGGATTTAAAATAGTCTGAAATCCAGAATCTTCTAACATTGAAAATGGTCTACCATTTACTGTGGTTAGTTCTATACATGCGTTTAATAAAGTATTAAAATCAAGTTTAACTAATACTGATTCCTTAGTTATAGTAAACACTACATTTAAATCTGTCTGTACAATAACCTGAATTATTATATAACATATAAATTTAATTTTAATTTTTATACACAGTTTAAATTTAAATCAAGTTTATTATAGGAATGTAGCATACTTTTCTTTTTCTTTGATCTATACAATTCATTTCTGATGACATTCGTTTATCTTTATCTCCTTTGCTTTTTTTCCCCTGTAACTCTTTGTATTCTTTTTTATGATTAGTCCTTAAATGAGTCTCCATATTACCGGAGTGTAATCCACTTAATGTAGTTTTACAATTGTCAACCAAACACTTGGATTTTTTAGTAATTTTATCTTTTGAAAAATATGCGTCCACT